TAACTTCGAACGCAAGGTTCGACTGTATTGAGTACGAGACTCACTTAAGTACGAACGCAAGGTTCGTTTAAAAAATGAACGCAAAGTTCAACCTGAGCACGAACGCAATGTTCGACCTGAGAACGAACGCAAAGTTTGTTAAAAAATGAACGCAGAGTTCATCCTGAGTACGAACGCAAAGTTCGACCTGAGAACGAACGCAAAGTTCGTTTAAAATTGAACGCAGAGTTCAACCTGAGAACGAACGCAAAGTTCGTTAAAAATTGAACGCAGAGTTCATCCTGAGTACGAACGCAAAGTTCGACCTGAGAACGAACGCAAAGTTCGTTTAAAAAATGAACGCAGAGTTCAACCTGAGTACGAACGCAATGTTCGACCTGAGAACGAACGCAAAGTTCGTTTAAAATTGAACGCAGAGTTCATCCTGAGTACGAACGCAAAGTTCGACCTGAGAACGAACGCAAAGTTCGTTTAAAATTGAACGCAGGTTCGGTTAAAAAAATGAACGCAGAGTTCAACCTGAGTACGAACACAATGTTCGACCTGAGAACGAACGCAAGGTTCGTTAAAAATTGAACGCAGAGTTCATCCTGAGTACGAACGCAAAGTTCGACCTGAGAACGAACGCAAAGTTCGTTAAAAAAATGAACGCAGAGTTCAACCTGAGTACGAACGCAATGTTCGACCTGAGAACGAACGCAAGGTTCGTTAAAAATGAACGCAGAGTTCATCCTGAGTACGAACGCAAAGTTCGACCTGAGAACGAACGCAATGTTCGTTTGAGGTAACCACCTCCTCAATTTTCGCCATGAACCCTTAGGGTTTCAAATTGAAACCACCGCCGACAAACCCAAAAAACCTTTGATTTTTATTTTCAAAACAGATCCAAAAATTGGAAAAATTGAAGAAAAAATCAAAGAAAAATCCAAAAAATTCCAAAAAGTTTACTGTTCACCGGCGATTTTTTCAGTTACTGTTCACCTGAAAAACTTTTCGTTACTGTTCATCCGAACAAAAAATTTACTGTTCATCCGAACCCAAAAAATTTTACTGTTCATCAGAACCCAAAAAATTGAATCTTTAACCAGAGATTTAAGATAAAAAACCCAATAAAACTTAAATCCCTAAGAATTAATCAACGTGGCTCTGATACCACTTGTTAGATCTACATCATAAAACTTAAGATCTAAAACCATATACCCATGATTGATTCAAAGAGATTAACAATAATCAAAAGAGCGTAAGCTTATACCTGAATCCATTGCTTGATCTTGATTTTGGGTTTTGGATCTTCTAACCTTAGGGTTTCCTCTAAAACCGAATTTCTCTCTTAGATGGGGGTGAAGAGAATTAGAGAATGTAGTAACCCTAGATTAGGGACCATAACCCCTTATTTATAGATGTTGTACTTTTGTAATTTAGCCCCTCAATAAATTACAATTACAACCTGGTATCTGCACATATAACCCCATGACTTATTTAAATACCAAATTAACCCAACTTAATTGATCACTTTAGTGGGTTATCCTGAAAGATAGCAATACACATTGATTAATCATATGTGCCCACAAATAGATTTATTAGATTAAATCCAACAAACCAAACACAAGAAAAGAACCTAAACAAGGAAAGTGGAGGAAAGCATCAAAAATTACTCATATCAACCAATAATATGGTGACGACTCATTTTCTCCCCCATTTTCGGTTATAGCTTTGACGAACCAAACCTCTGAAAGTGGAGGAAAACATCAAAATTCACCTTCTTTTCCCCACTTTCCCCCACGTTGGTCTTTTTTTGCGAAATAATAAGGCCCTTAGAGAGAGTTAGGGGCTGTTTGGTTGATATATTTGGCATTGGGGGATGGGCAGAAGCCTGTCAAAAGAGCACTTTTGGTAGGCTTTCTGCCCAACCCCCAATGTCAAATACATCAACCAAACAGCCCCTAAGAGAGATCAATTTTTGAATCATTAAACCTCATGAGTCATCCACTCATTTAAGAGTTGGATATCTCTTTAATATATGTTTTTTTAATTTTTAATAATGTGATAAACCGGTCTACCAGATACTTTTCGCTCGCACTTCTCAATTTGCACCTCTCGATATACGAGAAAGCACAGAAGACCCGACGTCCAAAGCAAAGTTACATTATCCAAGCCCAACACAAGACGGGCTTGGTTTCCAAGCCCGACAAAGAACTAGACACGTGTCCCTAATCAAACGAACTGTCAGACTCCGTTGCGGTGATGAGATACCACACCGCACTGGACCCCACCACCAGCACCCAACTCACCTCGAGCGGGCCCCACAACCAGACCAATCCTCCTCGCCCTCAACGATCGATAGAAAGTAGAAAAAAAAAACACAGTACTCTCGGATCGCTACTTTGATAAAATCGCCGATGAGGAGGAGATGGGCTTGGTGACGTCATCCATCGCCGCCAAGTTCGCCTTCTTCCGCAAAACCTCTCTTGACCGTCTGCATCCCGCGCCGAAGATCTCGCCGTCGGTCACGCCTCACGATAGCGCGAGATCTCCTCGTCGTCGAGATCCGAAGCCGTCGACATCTTGAAACTCCGAACTCGAAAGGGGAACGAAATAGTCGCCGCATTTATAAAAAATTCGAGGGCGACGGCCACGCTCTTGTACTCCCATGGCAACGCCGCCGATCTCGGCCAGATGTTTGAGCTCTTCGTCGAGCTCAGCTCTCGGCTTCGCGTCAATTTGATGGGGTACGTGCTTAAGATTTTTCGTTTTCGTGGTTTTTTTTTTCGTTTTGGGAATTTGATAGAATATCATATTGTTATGATTCTAATGAACAGGGAATGAATGGACTTACTTCAATGCAAATCTCGCACTCATGAAATTATTCAAAAAATCTCCCAAATTCGAACAAAAGGACTAAAATTTAAGTGTTTGTGCAGCTACGTAACTGTTTAAATTCCCTTGCACATTCATTGTAAAGAAATGTTCTTCAGACAAGTGTTTCCTTAGATGATTCTTACCTGTAGGTATTGTGGAAGGCTGTGATCTGTTGCCAATGGAGCAATTTAGGACTTTAAAGGAAAAAGGTCCTTTTTTACTCAAATTAGGTGTTTGATGTGAGCCCTTTTCAAATATATTGCTGTCTTCCACAACTAATGTAGAAAGCTCTTTATTCCCCGTTTCTTCTGCATTTGTGGGATTCTTTTTTTTTTCTTTTCTTTCTTTCTCTTTTTTTCCTTTCTAGCTTTTATTTCCTTTCACATGTTTCATGCCTACCCGAATTCTTTCACAATATGTTATTCCAATGCCAACGCATCTAGAACCACCCATATACATGGCTGCAAAGAGCTTTTTCAAATTCAATTTGGAAACTTTATGCTCATAATTAAACATACTTGTCTTGGGAGCAATCTTTTTTGCTGCAGCACGTTTGGATGCTTTAATGACGTCTCATAATTGTTGAGATCTCATGAACCTTATTTAAAAGTTTCCTTGTAAATTCATAGGGTCTGACACTAAAATATTGATATATTTGTGCAAGTAATACTCTTTCAAGAAACATGTTAAGCCCCTTACATATGCATTCATTCTAGAGAAGCATTTTTCATGCCAGCGTTCGGTTAATGATTTTCTATGGCATTAGGCAAGGCTGTATTTGCTGTTGCTTATGTAGCGATGTAGGATTTTAAAGTAGAAGATCCTTTTCATATAAGTTAGGTGTTTGGTATGAAGCTTTTTAAAGATGGTGCTTTCTTCAATTTCTAAAGCATAAAGCTCTTTGTTCCCACTTTTCCTCCGCACTAGTGGAATAGTTTATTTCCCTTCACATGTTTGATGTTTCCTGCTTTCCCAAATCCTTCAAAAGTTCCATCCTAATGGGAACTTATCTAAAACCACTGGTCTTATCTCCATGTTTATGACTATAAGGAGCCTTTTCAAATCAAATGAAGGAACTTGATGTGGCTACCTAGATTATTTTCCAGCTTTTGGTGTATTGTGTTAATATCATTTTCATGTTAAGGTTTTTTAAGCCTTCAATTTTTGGAAGTCCTTTCATATTAGTGCTTGTGAAAATGCTTGCTAGTGAGGCTTCTCCATGTTTTTGAGGCAATGCCAATTACACTAGGATTGTTTTCTTACCAGAACTTAAATGCAGTCAATGCGAACACACTAATAATTCAATTGATGCTTGCACAACTTTATTTGGTTGCAGTTAATTTAACATATTACAGGAAGCTTTCATGGTTAGCTTAAACTGTGAATACTTTTCCTTCGATTATAGTAGAAAAATGTTCTCCACAGTTCACACATATATCACATGGAGTAAAACCACAACCATAAAGTTTCTTATCTGGTAGCTTCCTTTTATCTATTTAATAAAATAGCAAAAGGGTAACCTTGATTCGTGATTGAACAATCTAGCAATCTTGAATGTAGTGATTCAGAAAAAAGGAAACCCACCTCTCAACGTAGAATATTTGATATCTGGAAAGCAAGGAAATGGACATAGGACACATACACAACATGGATATCGAACATGAACTCCTTCAGGATTTAGGACTCAAATGCACGATGACTCAATGAGTATTAATCACATCTATCATATAATAATATAGTGAAACAGAGAATAATAACAATAATAGAGAGTGTAGAAAAATATATAGATTTATAGGCACACACTTGCATACAAATATGCACACTACATGTTTTTAGCAATATAGTACACATTGCTTATATACTAAAGTTAAGCTATAGTATATGAATGGTGCTGAACTTTCAACCTTTCTAATGGTCTCACTTCTTATATCAAGAAAGTGCGGATTTTCATACTTGATACAAGTTACTAGTTGACACTTATTCTACTTAAAATTTTCCCTTAATACATAAAATACATATTTAAATGGACATGGAAAAAGGTACAAGAAGTCTTTAAAATGTGTCCAATTAGTATCCTAATTGGGTCTTAATAACAAGATATATTTTAAAATTAAGGACACATTTGAAAGTCAGTGACACGTGGCTAAGAAAGAAGTTCCCATTATGCTTGCTCCCCAAGAACATGGTTTCTAGATGGAAGTGATCATACTACATTGTATAATAATTAAGAAAATGGCTCAATTAGTGGATTTTTTTAATTATTAAAGAGGTAGTGGATATGCTGCATATTAGATATATTATTAAGGCCGCAGTGCCGCAGTGGATATGTTTCATATTAGATATATTATTAAAGAGGCTAAATCTGAAGTATATCTTTTGCTGGCTAGAAATATGTAAAATATTGCGCATACACGCGCGTATTTGTGTATCTGTATCTGCATGTGCATGGATGTGCACTCTAATGAAGAAACAAACAAAGAGTGGCAACCAAAGTGATATTTTATGTCTTAAATGGAAGATCGAAGAATCAGAGTAATGGACGATGAACTTAGTGAAAGATGGAAGAGATACTTCTCTAAGTTGATCCTAAGATGGCCAAATGAGTAATTCAAATTAGGACAGTAGGTGTTGTCGAAAAGTTAGGCTTAATATAGTTAAGGAGGCTTCAAATAAGATGACATCGGGAAAGAGCTTTAAGACGTGATGATTATATCCCTATTATTAAACTTTTTAGGTGCTTGGGAAATTAGACTTCAGTATGGAAAATAAGTTGTGTGATGATATTATATAAAGTAACAAAATACCAAGCATGAGGAATTTTGGCATCTATTGTAAAAATTAAGAAGATATATGAAGTTGTAAGAACGATTGCAAGAGCAAGCTTATAATACAATGGAAACAAGCACCGGGAGAAGAATCATCCAGAGACTAAGAAAGGTGTTGAGTTTGCTTGGTACACTGTACACATTATCAACCCCTGACCGATCAACGTAATCTCTTACGTGGAGAGGTTTTATTACGATGTACGAGATCACCATGTTTCAATAGTTTTGTGTTTAGGCCTCATTGTTAACAATTTTAAATTTATTTATTTACTCAGAATTTCCTATGTTTCCAAAAAGTTGCTTGAGGCTCTACATGGTTAAAGCCATATGAATGGGAGTTTTAAGTGTTAAGGTTGCAGGTTGCTTGACAGATATTATTGTCTGTATCTCATCAGCTTAAACTTTTGGGTAAAGTACTTTTTGACAGAAGGAAACACTTGTATTCAATTTGTTTTTATTTCTCGAGGTTCAACAATTGAAGACCTTTACTTACTAAGGCGATTGATAAGAAGATGCAGTGAGAATAAAGACCTATCATATTTACATATGATTTTTACTTTCAGATAATTGTATTAGTTTGAAAAAGAGGTCAGTGTCTCGATGTAATTAAAGATATGTGTGATAGAGTAGTAACTACTTGCACAAGAATGATTGGGGGACCCGAGGAATCTCTTATCACCACAATAAAACTTGTTATGAACTGCTTTTCATTTGCATTAATTACTAGTAGTATCGAGGATCCAATCTCTTGGTGCATATTATTTCAGGTTATATTTTGATGTATGAAGAAGCTAGAGAATGATTAATTTCTTGACATAAAAAGGTGAAGAAAAGCCTTGAAAGCTGGTTCATAATCAGGAGGACTATTCTATACGTAGGATGAGATTATAGTTCATACTACAGGTAACCTTAGCAAGATCATTTTTGCTACTTAAGATCGTTGTGATAGTGAAATGGATGAACATGTTCGTGGAATCACAGAAGATGGGCTAAAATTGCAAAATAGATTTGGAGCATCATGTGATTGTAAGGTCCAATAAAATTAAGCGATAAGTCTTCGCTATATAACAAACCATTCTTTATGAGTTGGAAAGTTGGATAATTGTGAAACAACATGTACAATTAATGAGTATACAAATGGAAGTGCCAAAAATGATGAGTGGGAATATGTTATAAGATAGAAATTTTAAAAAGATTAAATATGTATAGAGAATTTTAAAAAAGATTATATATGTATCTACATGAAATTAGAAACAACTCTACTTGTGGATTGAATGATGGACAACCTACTGAGATGTTTTAGCCTTTAGGTTTTTGATACATAGACAAATAAGTATAATGATGAAGAGGAATTAGAATATTGTAGTTAGTGGAGCACCAAACACTAGGAGCAGACCTGAACACATATGGATTGTAGTGGTGACCCAAATATGATGGGTTAATAAAAAATAAGTTACGCCTGATAGAGACGATTGGAGAAAGGTGATTCATCTAGACAAACAAAAAAGGGGCCGAAGCTTTTCTAATGTTGATAAATAAGAAAAACAAAGAGAAACCCTGTAAATGTTGCTTGCTAGAGATCTGGGGTGTGGTGAGCACATTTGTTTCATGCATTGGTAGGCCCATTATACCCGGAATCCAATGAACTGATGACCACTTAAGACATAAGTTGTAATCTTCTAAATTCTCTTTTCTATTTTCTTCTCTCCTTATCCTTCACAAGAAAATTCTGTTGTGTACCCATTAAAAAAAGAGGTCTTTGGAGGTTGGTTACAAATGCTGAGTTATATGCTCTTTGGGGTGTCCCACAAAACCCCTAAACTTTCAAAATTTTCAACAGACCCCTCTAACAGTGTAAATGGATGAACAAGTACTTCCATACACACTCAAAGTAATGGCATGTGATGCCGTTAACGCTGTTAGGTTGTCCATAAAAGTTCAGAGGGATTTCTTAGGAAACTTCGAACATGCGAGGGGTTTTGTGAAATTTCCCTATATTTATTTCGCCTAATATCTTCAGGCCCCGTTTGGCAAAGGGTTAATGAAGAGGGGTTAAAGAGAAGGATTAATGTACTTAGCCCATTTGATAATCCGAAGGACTAAATTATTAACCCGTTAAATAAGTTTTATTTTAGCCCTTATGATTAGTTTTAGTGTTTGGGAATAACAATGATTTTGACTATTTTCTTTATAATTAGAAGGGTTAACTCCTATTCCATCTAAATAGGAGTATTAGTAAACCCCTCATTTTGAGGGGTTAACTCATTTTAACCCCTCTAGAGGGGTTAACTTAACCCTTCTATATTTTTTATGTTTGGCAAATTATGGAGGGTTAACTCACTTTAACCCTTAGATAGATTTGTTGTGTTTGGCAGGTTAAGAAGGGGTTAAGTCTCCTTAACCCCTCACTTAACCCTTTCCCAAACGGTACCTCAGTGAATATTCCATTTACTTATCATTTTTTCTATAAATTGCTTAGTTTCCCCCCCTTAAGGAACTGGAGAAAGAGATATATCTATAATATTTCATCATTATTGATGCTTCTTATCAATTAAGGCTAGATCTAATAAATGTTTGTGGCAGGTATGACTATTCTGGTTATGGGCGATCAACAGGGAAGGTGAGCTCAAATGAATAGTTTGCATCAAATTGATATGTTTTCCCCCCAACATTTCTATTGACATGCAATGTTTCATCAAGCACAGCCCACAGAGTATAACACGTATGCAGATATTGAGGCAGTTTATGAATGCCTTCAGGAGAAGTATGGTATTGCAGAGGAGGATATTATTTTATATGGGCAATCTGTTGGAAGTGGCCCAACTGTTGACCTGGCCTCTCGTTTGACTAATTTGAGAGGTGTTATTTTACATAGTCCCCTCCTTTCTGGAGTGAGAGTGTTATTTCCTGTCAAACATACATACTGGTTTGATATTTATAAGGTAATGCTCTATAATTTCTACATTTCATTATGACCTTTTCAATATGACATCATTTTTTTGATTTTGCAGAATATTGATAAAATGGGTTTAATAAACTGCCCAGTGCTTGTAATACATGTAAGTGCTCTATCGTCACTGTCGTTACTGGTTGCATCATCATTGGACGAACTTATTGAATTAGTTTCAATTACTATCTTGTTCATAGCCATTGACTCAGTGACATTATTGGATGTGAACTTCAGCTGGGGTTTTTAAAACTGAAATGATCACTTTACATGAAAAGTAGAAGGGCAGCATGTGGGTTTGAATAAATACTGACATAGTGACATGCTTGACTTATTTTGTGGTGTTCACTAGAAGAGTTCTTCAGAATGAATTTAATATAATAGATATGAAGATGTAGTTTAAAAATTACCGAGAATCCCTATAATGAGGAGAAAATACTATTTTGAATTGGATAACTGAGTTGAGTGCAGTAATGCAGTGCTGGGTTTAAATGCATGGCTGTAACAAAGCGGTCATGGGCATGAATAATCCTATTAATTGTAGTTACCAGATAAAGTACATGAATATGATCTGTACAATCTGTAGATTTCTTTCCCCTTCAAACATTCTATACTTGCTCAAAAGAATATAGAATTATAGTTTTTACCGATGTTTTAACAGAAACTTAATTTTAGTTTTCAGGATATCTGCCATAAGCGAAACACTTAATTGTAAGGAAGAATTGCTAGTTTTTAAGTGAAAATAGATTTAGCCGTGGAACATCCTGTAGTTTAACCTCTGGTTCTTCGACTACAGTCATGTTTCTAAGGTTTCCAAATATTATTCCACAATCTGAGCAGCTCCCTTGATCAGGGCACGTCAGATGAAGTTGTCGACTACTCCCATGGGAAGAAGCTTTGGGAACTTAGCAAAGAAAAATATGAACCATTGTGGGTGAAGGGTGGAGGGCACTGCAACCTCGAGCTGTACCCTGAGTTTATAAGACACCTTAAGAAGTTTGTATCGACTGTAAATAAGAGAAAGACTTCAAAAAGCAACCCAATTGGTGATAATGATGAAGACAAATTACATGAACCCTTTGAGCACCCTGAGATGTCAAGAAAGAGCTTAGACAGCAATATTGGAAACCCAAAGAAGATGGAGCAGCCTGAGAAGTCTCGGATGAGCACTGATCAAGTTGACAGGAACAAGAAAAAGAAAGGTTGGATTTGGTGAATGGTCTTCAAATTGATCCAGGTTAAAATTATATGAGCTGTTTATTTGTGAGGACCTAATTGAATCTGTATATTTTGTAATCCCTGTTGTATTTCGTCTGACAACATTGGAGTTCTCGGTGAGGGCTTGGTTTGAAAGGAGGCACAGATATTAAATGATCCCTTCATCAGCCATGGTCTTCTAACACAGAGAGACATATTTCCTCCTGCCATTATGGACATACATTTTTGTTAGTTTAAACAGGAGAAGCAGTTTGTTCATATTAACATTGTTGCTTGATCTTTGTTAGCCGCAGGTGTTTTGTAAAATTTTCTCGTAAACACGATGAACTCTCAGCTTTTCTTCCTTACTATTTCGCTGGAAATCAAAACGGCCATTGTGCAAGAGCCGACCTCTTCCTCTGCTCTTTATTATTAGTCCCTCAGATCTTTATTATTTTGAAATCATTCCTCAAAATCTTGGTATTTTGATATCAGTCCTTGATATCTTTTTAACTATTTGAGATCAGTCCCCCAAATGTTCATGCTTTGAAATTACTCTCTCAAATGTTTTAAGTGTTTTGAAATTGGTCCCCCGGGCTCCAAATCTCTCAACCAGATGCTAACTAAAAGGACTAATTTCAAAATATCTAAAAGATTTGGGGTCCTAATCTCAAAATATGAAGAATTAGGGGACTAATTTTGAAGCATTTCAAGATTTGGGTGGCTAATTTCAAAATATCAAGATTCGGGGGACTAATAACGGCATGTTTAACAACTTTGTATTATAATCCAGCTTGCTTATCATTTAAGAATGGCTTACAGTCAAGTGGATTTTAATCCAAAGTGTTTGGTAAATTTAGTGGACCGTAATCCATTTTCAATGGTACAATGTTTAGCAAATGAGTGGCTTATAATCTAATATTTTGTCAAAATAATAAAAAAGGGTTGGAGATAAAGAAAGAGGGCGTTGGATTTTTTTAAACACTAACGGTTAAAATGGTCTTTTACTCGGTCAAACCAAGTGGCTTATAAGCCACCAAAAAATAAGTTGGTCTGCTCCAAATTTTTTTCCTGAAGCTAAATATGTATGGGTGATTTATAAGCCATTATGACTTATGAGCTACTTTGACTAGTTGCATATATCATGCTATGAGAAAATCCAAGAAACAAATAAGTGCAGTCTTATCAATGTTTTCGTTATGCTATGTAGCAAAGAAACTCCTTTATCACTTATGAAGGGCCAAAAAAAGTTACGTGCTCGAGTGGGCCTTAAAAATTAATGGCACGTACCGGTTGAAGGAGCTAAATAAAGTGACGAGTGCTAGATATAGAATCAAGATCTAATTAATAGGTTGTTGAGCTCTAGTCAGCAAAGTGTTTGCTACGTATCTTTTCTATAGGAAAATGATTTAAGGACCTAAAATATGGGATCAAGGAAGGAGACATGTGAGGTGACATGCTGAGAGCTAAGTGTTTGCTACGTATCTTTCCTTTCCTATATCATGTTATTATCCAATTTAGAGCTTTTGAATCAAAAAAATATTAAGCAAATAATACATGCCTACAAGTCTCCAACTGATGCAAGAGCAGTTTAGAGTGCAATTTAGTCACATTTACCCAAACTTGTTAGGTAACAGAGGAGAAATTGGAACGTGAGAAAAAAAAAAGAAAAAAAAAATCTTGTCTCAAAGTACGCAGAAAATTGCATTTGCACCCACGTCTCAAAGAAAAATTTACACAAAAACGTCCCACAACAAAACAATTTATTAAATAAACCCTCTCGATTATTCCTTCTCCACTCGGGAATACTCCGAGTACCGGCCGCCAAGTCCTCCGAAGCCATCATACCCGATGCCGAAGCCGCAACCGGTCGCGGACCTCCTTCCCCCTCCGAACGCGGGCCGGAACGTGCCGGTCTAAACCCTCTTCCAATCTCAGCCGTCCGATCTCCATCCGACGGCGAGGGAGACGACAGCAAGAGATCCCTCAGCAGCGCCCCTCCTGCTCTCCTCCGGCCGACGCGGTCGCGTTCACCCCGGCGGCGGTCAGCCGCGCCCCAGCGGCTTCGTGATCGGGCGAGAAGCTTCTTCAGAGTTTGCCGGCGGCGCGTGGCGGAGGAGGGGGGCTTCTGGGGAGCGGTGGGTTTTCTTGAGGGGCTTCTTGCAGTTGTGCATTGCGTTGCTAAGAGCTTGAATTTTTGAAGCGTAGCCATTATTTTGTTTTCTGGGAATTTTATGGAGAATTGTTATGAATTTTTTTTTTTGGGATGCTTATAAGGGGAGGAGATAATATGAACGGTTTCTTTTGGTGGGATTAAGGATGGAGATTCCTGTTCACTGGATGGGTTTTTTTGCTTTTGAGCCCTTGCACTTTGTGTTGTTTGTATAAAGTAGGTTTTCTTTTATCCCTTAATTTTCTTTCTTAAATATTTTAGGCTAAATGGCCCCTCAATATCCTATATTGTTTTTCACTATCTTTGCACTCAAAAATATCTCACGTTGTCCAAATCTGACACATTAGTATCTTTTGTTTGTTGGGCGTGAGAGTGTTCTCTTGATTGTGCTTATCACATGCCATTTTTAAATTTGTTTTTTTTATCATTTAATTTTGTGTTGCCATCGGGGTTTATTTCAACAAAGGAGCATTTTGGCCTTATGATGTTTTTAACGCCGTTTACAAAATTTTAAATGTGGACAACTTGGGGTATTTAAGTGTAGCATTTTTTAATTTAAGGTATTTAAGTGCAAAAGTAGTGATAAAATAGGTCATGAAAGTGTCCTTCAGCCTATATTTTACTCACCTAATAAATATAAGGTACCTCATTAGATTATTATGTATAATTTCTTGCAATTTATCTTTTATTCTCAGATGTGTATATGCTTTCGTTCCTTACCAATTAACGCTGAGCAAATTTTTTTATCTTTGCAAATTAAAAAGGAATTCAATACAAAAGTATATAACTCATATGGGCGATGCTCTGTATTTGATTTTGTTAATGGACTAGAGTCGTGTTTATAACATGGTTTTTTTTTTCTTTGTTGAAAATGATAACATCATATATGACGCAGCTAAAAACATAGGTGCTGAGCATCCGTAGTCGCGATTCTAAGCTGTGATAATCTTGGGAAATGTGACACATCCAATTAAATCTTCAATTACCTTTTTCTTCAGATAAAACTCTTTTTTTCTTGCAGTGAATCGAAGGGTAGATACCCCTGCATTTCATTTAAAAATAGATTAACGAAATAAATCAAAAGATACAATAAGGGGCTGTTTGGTTGTTGTTGATAAAATTGTGTATTTATGACACAACTTGGAAAGTTGTTGTCCACCTCATCAATTTTACTTGTATACTTTTCTTTGTTTGTTTTTGATTCCATTGGAATCATAAATTGTTTGTTTGGTTTATAAATGTAACTTTAATTGTTTGTTTGGAAAGTGTAAAAAATGGTCCTTACTCAAATGATCATATTGGTTGGAATTATTTATTATTATTTTTTTCTGATTTCAATGTTAGCTTTCTCCTAAAATCATGTTTTTTTTTTATGAAATCACTTTACAAGCCACATCAGCATATGAAATTACTTTACACTATTTTCACAACTACAAACAAACAATTGAAAGTGATGAAAGCTGACATTGGGACCCACTTTTTTACACTTTCCATCCTTTTACATGGTAAAAACATACAACCAAACAGCCCCTAACGGGGGGGGGTGTCAAAACGAGAGCTACTGAAGCGCTAGCAGAGCAAAAGAAGGGGGCAAAAAAGGATATGAGCGAAATTTAGCTAAAATTAAGACATAATTTGGGTAGGTAAGTGCAAAAAGTTTTGTACTATGTTGGTAGATGACACATTTGATTCGGATCCTCTCCACTACAAAAAAAATAGTGGAGGGACCACTACATAATCACAGCCATTGATTATCTAGTTGATGGTTATGATTTTTTCTTTTAGTGCAAATTAAGAATGAGTGCAATACACGGGGGTATGGTAAGTGTTAGATTTAGATTGTATCATAACCGCCTACTAAATAATCAATACTTAAGATTAAAAGTAGTGGTCTCTCCACTACTTTTTTGTAGTGGAGAGGATCCAAATCCTTTGTTTGGTTTGATGAGGATGGGATAAAGCATGACCATGCTCCACGTGGAGGAGAGAGAGAGAGAGAGAGAGAGAGAGAGAGAGAGGAGCATCACGCTTCCTGCAACTCATGGCCTCCATCTTGCGTTGTCCCCAGAAAAGATGAAGAGACGCAGACAAATGTCTTTGCATTTTGGAAACTCAGTTCAATCTTTGCTTAGATTACAGCTAATCAAGGAATTTTTTTTTTAAACAAGAACTTAGTAAGGTACGGACCCAGGAAATTTTTGCTATCGGGGCACGCATTTACTATGCGCATTGCGGACAGAGAAGTACACGATTTTTTTTAGGTTTTTGTCCTAGTCGATCCTCAAATCATTGTAATTGCTATTAGATCCCTCAAACTCTTAAGTTATTCTGAAACTATTCCCTTAAATCATCAAAGTTAATATTAGGCCCCTTAGTTTTTAAGTTTTTTTAAACTAGTAATTACAGAGATTAATTTAAAATAACTTATGAGAACTTGAGAACCTGCTAACAATTTCAAGTAGCTTCCAATATTCTCATAAAGTACTTTTAAATTAATCTTCCTAATTACTAATTTCAAAAAGAAAAATTAAGAATTGGGGGACGTAATATTAATTTTGATGATTTGAGGGAGTAATTTCCCTATAATCGCTACTTCTTACACTTGATTTGAGGGATTAAATTCATATTAACTAAAAAGTTAGGGAACCGGAAAACAATTTTAATTATTTGTGTGACTAATTTTAATATAGCTTATGACTTAGAAGGCCCCATAGGCATTGCAGGAATTTTTGACACGTTAAATTGCTGGCCCATCACCGTATGAAGGATAAGAGTCAAATGACCAAGACCATGAGGACATAATTGAGAGTGGGCTTTAATACATAGGTGGTTTGGGCCTTTAGAGTGCGTTTGGGTCTTTTTAAGCCTTTGGATGGGGGCACGCATTAAAATCTTATGGAGACGCCTCTTCATAAATTAAACAAACCTGCTTAACTTTTGGATAACCACATGTGTGTGTGGGTGGGTGGGTGGGTGGGTGGGGGGGGGGGGGGTCTAGTTACATGTAACTAAAATTATTCTGGACTAGTTGTAAGTTGTAAATGTTTATTTCACTCTACGCAATTAATAATTCTATGGGCTTTCCAGCTATACCCTCAAATTATAAGTACTCTTAAATTAAACCACCAGGTTATCATAATTACTATATTAGCCTCCAAATTACTATAATTAACCTTCCCCTCTTCCTAACT